ATTAGAAGCTTTCCAACACCAGGAGTTACTGAGGATATAGGCAATGGGAACTCTTTTACAATGCTGGTGAGATTATAAATTGGTATGACCTTGGAGATAACTCGGCAGACTTAGTGAAGGTGAGTCTGTGCATACCCTACACCCATAAATTCTGTTCCTAGGAATACAACCTGGAGACACTCTCACACACACTTACAGGGAGCTATGCCAAGAGCATTTTTAGAATGATCTTTTTATTAAAGCAAAGAGGAAAAGCACTTCAAATATCCACCGAGAAGAGATGTCTTTATAAACTGTAGAATGATAGCATGTTATACAGCAATGAAAATGAATGAAATATAACCACGTTTTAACTTGTGGGGTTAAAAAATGCAAGTTGCTGAAGACTGTATAAACTGTGTATAATACTTAGTTTTACAATAATTTGGGTGTAATTAACATATAACTGTACATATTTAAAGTGTGAAGAACCTTGATGGATTTGCCATGTGTATACACATGTGAAATCATCACACTCAAAATAAGTGTTTGCATGACCCCCCCCAAATTCTCTCATATCCTTTTTAATCCATTTCTCTCTCCACCTTCGTCTCTCAGCAACTGCTGAACCTTTTTCTGTCATGGTACATTAGTTTGAATTTGTAGGATTTTATTAAAATAATCATACAGTATATACTCCGTTTTGACTGGCTTTCTTCACTCATCACAATGATTTTGGAGATGTGTCCATGTTGTTGCATGTATCAAGAACCTAAGGTATTCCTATCAAGGGGCCCATGCCATCTTTCCACTAATGAAGATAGTGCTTGTACACTCAGCATTGTCAGGTGCAGTTCTACCATCTTTCCTCATGTCCATTGGCAGTTCTTCACCTATACCCTGAGGTCCTAATTAACATGCTCCAATTCCCTTTGAGCTGTCTCTCCCTGGAACACACAGTGAGAGCCAAGAGTTGTCAGGTCACCCTGGGGTTAGCCACTGCTGTTGCCTGAACTGTGTTTCTCCAAATTCAGATGAAGCTTTAGCCTCCAGTGTGACTGTCTGGGTTTAGGATCTTTAGCAGAGAATAAGGTGGAAAGAGGTCATAAAAGTGGGGCTTAATCTGATGTGACTGTAGTCTTGTAAGAAGGGGAAGAAAGGAAAATCATATACTATATTAGGACACAAGAAACTGACTCTGCTGGTACCTGGTCTCAGACTTCCAGCCTCCAGACAGACCTGCAAGAATAATCCTGTTGGTTAGGGACCCAGTCTGGTGTAGTTTGTTGCATAGCATGCTGCTTAATGAGCTAAGTTCCTACTCAGCAGTCAGGGAAACCTGGATACAGTTTATTTTGTAGACACCAAGATGGACACAAGGGGAGGTTTTGTGGCCCCCCCAGCAACTCCTGCCTGCTTCTGAAGCCTGACTCCTTAGCTCACCCAGTTTCTTACAGGAAGATCTTTGTGTCTACTTTTTTTTGGCCACTTTTCTAACTCCTCCTGGACTATTGTACCCCCAAGGGTCCCCAGCAGCAAGAGAGACTTTAAGTGAACATCTCTTAAGCCTTTTATCTCTTTTATTATTTTTTTTCTTAAATCAAGGCAGCTGAGTCTTCTCTTGCCCTTATATATCTTAAAAAGTAAGGCAAGGAGGGGAGAGAAAAGAAGAAAGAAACCAAAAAGCCCTCTCTAAAGTGACAAGCAGGAAAATTGGCTGGTTTTTCTGGGGCACATGAAAGTGAAATATTGTCAAGTTATGTAGGCAAGCAATTCACAGAGACAGGAAGAGACCCTGCTAGGTTGAAGTGTGTGTGTGTGTGTGTGTGTGTGTGTGTGTGTGTGTCCCTGCTAGGTTGAAGTGTGTGTGTGTGTGTGTGTGTAGGCTGAAGAAGCCTCCCTGCCTACTTGCCTTCTCTATTCTCCATCAAGATTCCTTCAGAGCAACCCATCTCCTCCAGGAACAGACAGTGGCCTGCTGATGCCCTCAGCCTTTCCCTTCTTTCCCGGGTCTGGGCAGCCCAGTGATTAAGCATAGAACAGCAAGAGAGCCAAGAGCAGAGATGTAATCCCTACCCTGCCCTCACCCTGCAGGACCCTGTGATCCTAACCTTTCCTAGGGTGTGTCTTAGAAGATGTCAGGCATGTGCACAATTTTTTTCATGCTCAAAATGATCATAACCATTGTACCAATAATCAAATGACATATTGACCTCTAAGCATTCTACAAACATGTTTTCTTCTGAGTCTTACAACCATCCACTTATGTATGTAACATTATTATCATCTCCATTTTACAAATGAAGACAATGAATCTTAGGACAGGCACTCCAAAAGTCTCAACAGCGCACCCTGATGGTGGGCAAAGGGGGCCCTCCAGGTGGGCTGGGAACTGATCTCCCACATGTAAGACCTTTGTATGATTCTGACGGAGAAATGGAGCACAATTCTTTAGACTTTCATTTTTACATGAAATTAAGGGCTTCTTTTTAGCAATCTCACAATTGGGTTATTAAGGGTAACTACAATTTGGTTTTCATAAACTAAAATTAGCTTGTTGCTGGAGTTTATCACACATTCCAGTTCAGTATTTGGTGGGGAGGTAGGAGGCAATTTTGTGTTGGTTCTTCTGTTTCTGAGCATGTATGGAGCTGAAAAACCCACAGTTTCCTGGCTCTTCCTCACCAGGTGTCACTGCCTTTGTCTTGAATTGATAAGCATTTTCTATCACTGTTTTCTCACTCCTGAATGATAGCTTGGTGTTATTTCAGCTTTACTGCTACTTATTTAATTTGTTGTGGGCTGTCTGTATAACCCCATTGTGAATGGTAAGGCATATTGAATATTTGGGCCTGTTATTTTCCAAGAATTAGATTGAAGAAATGCAAATATCATAGTAGGTGAAACCAAATGAAACTACTTGTATTTAACCACTTTTAAACCTTCAGTTTAACCATGTGAACCTAACTATATTCAATTATTTTTTGATCCATAAAAATGCTGGTTTTGTGTGGCTCAATCTAGTAGTTCAAATGTAAATTATTCATATCTTGTTTGGAAGACAATTGTACGTACAATTGCCTCCAAATATGCTTGTAGAATGACACTTAATTGGTGATATTTTGCCTGAGTTTGTTCTATCTAAATAATTTGCCACACACCATTATATAGTAACTGCGAGATAATTGCTAAGTTATTTTAAGTTTGCATATGTTTTTCTAGGATTCAAAATCTTGATTGTCAGCTCATGTTCTTTCCTTATAAGTTATTTATTATGTTCTTTCATTCTTTATCATCTGATTCCTTTTTCACGGTGAAGCAGAGATGAGTAGCCATGCAAACCTTGGGGTCTTGACCACCTGAGTAAACCTTGGCCAAAGAAGCCTCAAAAGCACTACTTTTAAGGTCCAACAAAGTTTTTCAAGTTTTGTGGCTATTAAGGTAGATTCAGGATTCAGACCCGGCCAGCCACACAGATGAATAATGGGATGCATATTTTGTCTGTATTGCTAAGGCTGCCTGAACAAGAGACCCTCACCTTCCTTGACATCTCTTTAAGAAAATTAGACACTCATCTCCTCTAAAGAGATTAAGGTGATGGTATATGGTAGATGGACTTCATATATATGAAACGGAACTAGAAAACCTCTTGCAATCGCTTTAAGTGGGGTGGGGAGGGGGCTGAGGGGGAGAAACGATGGGGGCAATGTAACTAATGTACAATATAAGTCTAATCAGAATTGTCACTATGAAATCCTCCCTGTATCATGAATATATCCTAATAAAAATTTACTTAAATAGAAATAAAATTAAAAAACAAAAAGAAAACAGAAACTAGCATTTACTGAATGTCTGCTGTATCCCAGCCACTCTGCATGGTCTGTTAGGCCAAACCATACTTAATATTGCAACAAACCCTATGAGGTTGATATTATCAATCCATACAGGTAGAGAAATAGGTTCACAGACTTGAATTCTTGTTCAGCATTACAAAACTGGTAGGTAGATGGTGAAAGCTGAAAGAAAACATCAAAACCCAGGTGACCATTCACTACACTGCCCTTTCCTTTTCCCTTCCTCCTCCCTGCCGCCATGTTCTGTGTGTCATCTACCTATAAAATGACACTGGGCTCTGTCACCTCTCCATCATCTTCACCACTGATGCCTCACCACTACCTCTCCCATTGACAGATGCAGCAGCCTCCTAGCCTCCTCCCTGCTTCCACTCTGTACACATCACAACCTCCATCTGGCCCCAAACTTGCTCTGAACAGCACCATCCTATCTACAGATCAAATCAGTCCCCAACCTGTAGCATCCTGCCCATAGCCCTCCACTCAGTGTGTGCAGGATAAAAATATATATATTTTAATCCAGTTTTCCAACCTGCCTTTCTCACCATCTCTTCCAACACTCACTCTGCCCAGTCGCCACCCCACCCAACCCTCCAGTGGCCAGTTTTCCACCTGGGAAATTCTTCTTCCTTCAAGGCTCAATTCAAATGTCATGCCTATGGGAGAGTCACAAGAAACTGCCCATAGTAAATCATAGCTCCTCCTCTTTGTGTATACAGAACTTTATACACATTTTTAATTGAACAGTTTCTGTTGGATGAGAGCTGGTTGAAATATCTAATCTGTCTTTCCCACTTGATAATGAGTCCCTAGGGGATAAAGATCATGTTACATTTATCTTTGGATTGCCAACATTCAGTGCTCAATAAATGTTCATTAAATGGACAAATACCCCTGGCAACCTCTCGTGCACACGAGGACACACTGAAAAGCTGTTGGGCACAGTGGCTTGAAAACTGAACAGTAAGTGGGATGCTGAATTCCAGCTTTCCCACCCACTGGCTGTGTCACCAGGGACAGTGTGAATCTGGATCTCAGTCCCCACCCCCTACCTATATAGATGGGGACATCAGACTGTCCTTCCAGGGTTCACGTCAGATAATGCAAGGACTTGAATTCTCACCGCTAAAAATACTTCTTCTTTCTCACCAGAAGAAAGGTCTTCAGACATTTAAGAAGAGCCATGGCACATAACCCAGGTTCTCTGGCAGAGACTTCCGTGGTCAAGTTCAACAATCAGGACTTTCTGTCCTTACGGGATCATTGCCTAAGCAGGAACATGAAATTTAAGGATGAGACATTCCCTGCTAACGCTTCGTCTATTGGCGAGAAGCTGTGCCAGGGAAAAAACATTTCCAACCTGCAATGGAAGAGGCCAAGGGTGAGTGAGCTCCACCCCTTCCCACGCCAACACACCAAGTTGTAGGAGCCCTTGGAGCTGCCAGCATTGGCACCTCCCAGAGAAAGGAGGATGGGTCTGATATCTGAATTTCAGAGATGCCTCAAACCAAACTGGAAGGAAAAGGAAATTCATCCAGTCCCTTTGCTGTAGTGTTGTGTATACTTAGTGAGATAGGAAGACCTGGCCAGGAGGTAGGACCTGGACCCTTAATTCTAATCCAGTTCTAACACTGAGCACACCACTAGATTAAAAGACCTCAGCTCCATCACTTGAAAAATGGAAAGCCATGGGTATGGAGATTGTTGCTAGTAGGTCTTCAGGGTCTCTCCCACCTCTGTAATTGAACCCATTTATCAGTCTGCCACACTTTATTCACTTCAGGTGTCAGTGTCTTTATATTCTTTTCTCCTTCCCTATTAGAGTTTACTCAGAGATTATATGATCTCAGTCATTTATACTATAGGATGAATTTAAATAATTGCCTTGCCTTTCTCTTTTATATTCACACTCTCAGTCTTGTAAAGGTTTGATCCCCATAAAAGAATTTCAGACATCACTGTAAAATTAGGGAGCTACTACAGGGCAACACTCAAATCACCCTACCACTCCACCCCTCAGCTCAGCAGAAGCAAGGTTTGGAGAACATTCTAAGTAAGAAGCTCCATGGGAAATATCTCAGCTGATTCAAGCTTGTCAAAACCTCCTTAGGACACCTATGAATACAAAGGAGCCCAATAAGAACCACTTTGAGGCTCCTGATGGCCAAATTTCTTCATGCCTCCAAAATCTGCCAGCAGAACCTAGAACAAGAAAATAATACAAAGTCTAGTGAGAGCCTGGATTAAATGCCAAGCATCTACTGGGCACTTTCAGTAATGCCAGGTCAAGTTATATAGAAAAGGAGTTTTCCGAGGATGCCTGGTATGAGGCTCTGAGACTCTGACAGTATCTATCTGGTCTGTGGGTGAATTCTTAAGACATCAAGCACTTGAGGAGACACTGCTTACCTTAGTTAGGGCAGATTTGGGTCTCTTGGGGAGGAAAGGGTTAGTGGAGACCAGCTAGTGTTTAGAATGCAGCTTAAAGAAACCTGTGCATTTAAGCCTTCTAGGGCCACATCATCCGTCATTGGCAGTGAGTCCCCCACTATTAGTCTCTTCTGGCCTTCAGTTCCTAAGGAGAGCTGAGGTAGAGAACTCCATTTAAAGGAATTCTGATGGGTCATTTTTCCCCCTTTGTTATTTTTAAAAGCTGAGATTCTTTTAGAAGGTGATGGGGATTGTTTTCCTCACAAGGTGCTGCGACTATAGTTATAGTGTGGAGGAATCTATAACATTTCTATTCAAAAAGGGTTGAGAGTTTTTATGATCTAATTCCAATTCCAACAATACCTCAACTTGTGGTGTCTTTTGAGAACAAAGAGAAACTGAGGCAAACGGAAGTGAGATGACTCATACTGAATCATACCAGGAATCCCAAACAGAGGCAGCTAGGAGCCATAGTCTTACTCTCATTTACTCTTCTCATCCAAAAAGTTTGAATTCTACTAAGTTTCATTTTTCGTTCCAGCATTTCTTTTTAAATAGCATAGATGTATGTGCTCCTTTTTTCAACTGGCAATATTTATATTTATCTAGTACTTGCTAGAGCTTTGCATATCTCTTTTTCTACTTTGTATCTTTTGTTTATTTTATTGAAAACAAACCGAAGTTCAGACAGGTGATATGGCTTGACCAAGGTAACATGGTTGTGAAGGGGAGGACCCAAGAGTTAAACCAAGACTCCTAACTCCCCATGCTACACTTTTCCTCATATGGACTTGAATCCCTCACAGAGACTTTGTTAGGATTTGGATGCATTAATAAATGGGCGGGTAGATGAATGAATGAGTCTATCTACAAGTGCCTGATGCAGGTTTTGAACTCATATGTGTAACAGAGTCAACCTTGTGTTGACATGTTTTCTACATAGAATGGCAGAATGTAATCACCTCTTCAGCAATGTGATGTCCTTGACTACTACAGCTGTGACTACCAAGAGCCTTGGAAGAAGAGCAATAGCCAGCCTACCCCAAGCCTACTAGTAATGGCTAATGCTCACATAATGCTGGCCAAATGGCTGGCTCAATTTTAGGTGCTTTTTTTTTCTTATTGTTTTATTATTCATATGTGCATACAAGTCTTCGGTCATTTCTCCCCCTGCCCCCACCCCCTCCCTTACCACACACTCCGCCCCTTCCCTCTCCCCCCAACCCCCTTGCTACCTGGCAGAAACTATTTTGCCCTTATTTCTAATTTTACTGAAAAGAGAGTATAAGCCATAATAGGAAGGAACAAGGGTTTTTGCTGGTTGAGATAAGGATAGCTATACAGGGAGTTGACTTACATTGCTTTCCTGTGCGTGTGTGTTACCTTCTAGGTTAATTCTTTTTGATCTAACCTTTTCTCTAGTTCCTGGTCCCCTTTTCCTATTGGCCTCAGTTGCTTTTAAGGTATCTGCTTTAGTTTCTCTGCGTTAAAGACAACAAATGCTAGCTAGTTTTTTAGGTGTCTTACCTATCCTCACCCCTCCCTTGTGTGCTCTCGCTTTTATCATGTGCTCAAAGTCCAGTCCCCTTGTTGTGTTTGCCCTTGATCTAATGTCCACATATGAGGGAGAACATACGATTTTTGGTCTTTTGGGCCAGGCTAACCTCACTCAGAATGATGTTCTCCAATTCCATCCATTTACCAGTGAATGATGATAACATTTCGTTCTTCTTCATGGCTGCATAAAATTCCATTGTGTAAAAATACCACATTTTCTTAATCCATTCGTCAGTAGTGGGGCATCTTGGCTGTTTCCATAACTTGGCTATTGTGAATAGTGCCACAGTAAACATGGGTGTGCAGGTACCTCTGACTCATGACAACTCTGTGATGAGGGACTATTATTATTCCCACTTCATAGATGATAAGTGGAAACAAAGAGTACAGTGACCCTGCCTGAAGTCACACAGCTAGACAGTGTTAGAACTGGGATTTGAACCCTGGACCTAACACCTGAACTATGACCCAAAACTATATTGTCCCCTATAAAGCATCATAAATTCATATCATATTCTGGGCTCTTGTTTACCACTAGTATTTTATGCAACAATAGATTCTCTTACCTTATATGGGAAATGAAGAATAAATTTCTCTCTAAGGTAGATCTATGTTGTGCATTTCTTTCCATTCTTAGGTGAAAAATACTGGGGATAAAAATAGTAACTGTACCTCATGTGATTATTTCATGCAATAAATAAATGAGTGCTATACTTATAACAGTGTCTAGCACATTGTAAGTACTTACTAAACATTAGCTATTGTTTCGGTGGTAAATTAGGGATAGATGTCATGGAGGAGATACCTTGGAGCTATTGCCCCATATTCTTGGGACTTTAGGATGCAGGAACCTCAGTTTTAGCCCTCAGTCAAATTCAGCAAATGCTCCCAAGTAATCATGTAGGTCAGAGGAAAACAGGGGTCAAAGGGAATGCTGACAGGAGTGTGCAAAAATTCCTTTTTTTTCTCATGTTCTGTATCCCATCTCTATAGTTTTCTCAATGCCTATCCAGAAGTCTAGTTTAAGGTGCACCTTAAACATCAACTATGTCATGGTAAGGAGGCACCAAGTCTTCTTGGACCATCTCCACATTTTAGCCTTTTCTACACAATAGGGAAATCCCACATTCAGGAAACTTCTAAACCACCATGGACATCATTCTACCTGGAGTGTTAGTCCCAGCCTGGTAGATTTAACAATAACCCGATAGGCAGGGGCATGAAAATGAGGCTCAGCTTTCTGTGCCTGGGGAGAAGGGTTGTTCCTACCCAGCCCCTCACTCTGTGTCTCCTTCTGCCCACCCTATCCTTCTTCTTCTTGTTATCCCTTCCTGTCATAATTAGCCCAATCCATTCTTCTGCTGAAAACTTGTTTGAAATAGAAACTCTTTCACAACCTGCTTCCTCTGGTTTACTTAGTTTAAGGAATTTCCAACCCCTCCCCTCACCCAACTCAGGTTCTGCAATAGCCTATGACCCAGTGGCGAGGGACTTGAGTCCTCATCAGTCTTTCTCAATGCTTCCCGTAACCCGGGTCTTAGCAAGGGATAATGCTGACAATTACACTTGTACAGTGTGGCACATCTGTGTAATAGCTCCCTCAATTAAGTCTGGTATTCAGGGTGTCCCCTTACAGAATTTTTACTTTGTGGATCAACATAGTAAATTTTATTTATCGAGTATATACATGTGTGTACTTGAAGTTCCTTATGTGCAATCTTTCAATGACTTACCCTCACAGTCCTGTGAGGTAGATGATGTTATTATCCTCACTAAATAGAAAGGCCCCGTCCTGTGGACCTGCCAGTGATGAAGGAGGTGTTCTTTCTCTACCGCTCAGTGTTGTAGCCACTAGCACACGTGGCTATTGAACACTTGAAGTGTGGCTGCTGCTGCTGAGAAATTAGTTTTAATTTTGTTTAATTTAAATGTAAATAAGCACAGTCAGCTGGTGACTGCCATATTGGACAGCGTGGAATTGTAGATGGTAGACCTTCACAATAGTCTCCAGCGTGTCAGATAAAGGGACTGGAATTTCCTCTTTGTTCCTATTCTGCAGTGAAAGCATTTCACCTCTCCACTGAAGGCTGGGCTGTATCCCCAGAACATGTTGTCCAATGGGTGTCTGGGTCTCAGCATGAAGCCCCATAATTGATCCAGCCCATGGCCACCCCAGAGCAATGCACTGCCTGTTTAGAAAACAATGTGTATTTTTTTTTGTAGCCAGAGCAGTTTCTGATGGGATTGTTTAGTAGAAATGACTCACCTTGGGACCAAAATGTGTTTTCAGAAAAGAAAGAGACAAAATAAGTGGAGATATGAGGGTACAGTAGGGTGTGAAGATGTCCCATCAGGTAACAGGTAACAAAAGGCACAGAAGTGACTATGTCAACA